GACTTGAGGGCATTTAACAACGACAGCCAGTGAATTACTCTCCCTTCCCTCCTACCTCTGGTAATCTTTTCTTGAGTTCTTATAGTAGTGATCTCATACAATACTGGTTCAGGTTCATCCATGTTAATGATATGTTTTGCAGATTCATCATTATTCTTCAGTGTTGCATAATAGTTCATTGTGTGTATGTACCAAAGTTTGTTTATCCGTTCTTCCATTGATGGCCATTTAAGGTGTTTCCATCTTTTTGCTATTGTGACTAGTACTGTGGTGAACATGGTGTTCCTATGTCTAGTGTTCTGACTTATTTTTTGTGGATATATACCAAGTAGAGGGATTGCTTGGTCATATGGTATTTCTATTTCCAACTTTCTGAGGCAGCATCATACTGTAGAAGCATTTCCACATTGGTTGAACCATTTCACAACCCCACCAGCCATTCAGGAGGGTCCCAATCTCTCTACACCCTCTCCAGTATTTGTTTTCTGTTCTTTTTTTTAAACTTTGCTATTAATGCTGGCATGAGATGATATTTCATTGTTATTTTGATTTGGTGTCCTGATGTGGCGCTGTGGGTTAATGCGCTGTACTGCAAAATCAGTTTGAACTGCAAGGTCATCGGTGGTTCAATCTCACTAGCCTCTCCTAGGAAACCCTATACAGGGTCACTATGGCTCAGAACCAACTCCTTGGCACTTAACAACAACAACAATGGCTAATGATAATGAACATTTCTTCATATGTTTGTTGGCTGCCAGAATATCTTCATTGATGAAGTGTCTGCCCACTTTTTCATTGGACCTATACTTACTTTTTTAAAAATAAGTATGCTTGGACATCACACTTAGGAAAAAAAAAATTTTTTTTAAGAAGGATCCTAGAATAAGTCTGGATTTGCACAAATGATATTTCCACAAATGATATAATTAAGACATACAACTTAAAGTTACTAGTTGCTAGTCATATATTAATTAGGATTTCTTTAAAATATGTGCACCAAATCATTCCTCCCACATCCCTGTCAGGTTTGACATTTCAACTGCAGTGGCCACACAAAATTTGGACACTTATTCATCATCATGCAGCTTGTTAGGAAGTTAAAAGGTTGTATTGCAGTATCAGAAAACGCACAGGGCACAGGTCTCTGTGCCTGGTCAGTGTTACAAAACTCTTTTAGGGCTGCTGATCCATGCCTACAGAACACACCATGAACTCAACTTTACTTGCTCTGTGGGCTAGGAAAGCCCACCACTACTGTCTCTTGCTCTGGCTCTTGATTCTATTGTTGCTATCCCTCTGCCACTCCTTTGGTGTCAAAGGTTTCTGTCCTTGGGTCAAGGAGGTTCAATGTACAGGGATCTCTGCATCCAAAGGACACATTCCATTCCTTGCTCTTCCACTTTGATGATAGTGAGCTCCCTCATCCTGCTTTGGAGGTGGCTCATTTTATATCCATGTTAGAGTTTCTAGTTTTTACAGTTACAGCTAACTTTGTTAATATCCACAGCTGAGTCATGTAATCCGATCAGTTCCGTTTCCTACTTTCTCATATCCAGAGCCATCAGAAAAAGTAGTTTGGTGGGAGTTACAAACCTCTGGCTAGAAGCGACATAAGAAATAGTTCATTGCACTGCAATTTGCGAAATGATTTTGCTCTGTGCAATAATAAACAAGGCATTAATACTCAGTATTTAGAAATCAAACAATGTATTGCATTAGGCAAATCTGCTGCACAAGACCTTTTTAAAGTGTTGAAGAGCAAAGATGTCAGCTTGAGGACTAAGGTGCGCCTGACCCAAGCCGTGGTATTTTCGATAACTTTATATGCATATGAAAGCTGGACAGTGAATAAGGAAGACCGTAGAAGAATTGATGCTTTTGAGTTATGTTGTTGGAGGAGAATATTGAAAGCTGCCATGGACTGCCAAAAGAGCCAATACATCCGTTTTGGAAGAAGTGCAGCCAGAGTGCTCCTTGGAGGCCAAGATGGCCAAACTTTGTCTCTCATACTTTGGACATATTGTCAGGAGAGACCAGTTTCTGTAGAAGGATATCATGTTTGGTAAGGTAGAGGGTCAGAGAAAAAGAGGAAGACCCCCTGTGAGATGGAATGGCCAAGTGGCAGCATCAATGGACTCAAGTGTGGCAATAGTAGTGAGGTTGGCCCAGGATCGGGCAGTATTTCGTTCTGCTGTGCATAAGGCCGCTATGAGTCAGTACCAACTCGATGGCACCTAACAACAACAACAACAACAACAGTATTTACTCTCCACCACTCATCTGTCAGTTTGTTGTACTGTGGTGGCTTATGTGTTGCTGTGATTCTGGAAGCTATACCATGGGTATTTTAAATACCAGCAGGGTCACCTGCAGTGCACAGCTTTCAGTAGAGCTCCCAGACAAAGACACTAGGAAGGAGAGACAAACTACTTCTGAATATTTAGTAACTGAAAACTTTATGAGTAGCAGTATAACACTGTCAGCACCAGATTATTGACTAATGAAGCATAATGAAGAGCACTAGAATATTGTCAAATATAGTGCCAAAAGATGAGCCCCTCAGGTTGGAAGGCACTCAATATGTGACTGGGGTAGAGCTGCTTACAAATTATACAGTTACCGAGATGACATGAATGAAGTTAAGCCTTGGGGACCTTCATTTGCTTATGGGACACAACCCCATTAATAATCAAAACATGGAATGTACAAAGTATGAATCTAGGAAAATTGGAAATTATCAAAAATGAAATGGAACACATAAACATTGATAATCCTAGGCATTAGTGAGCTGAAGTGGACTGGTATTGGCCATTTTGAATCTGAGAAACACGTGGTTTTCTATGTCGGGAATGACAAATCGAGGACGAATGGCATTGCATTTGTCATGAAAAAGAATATATCAAGATCAGTCATGAAGTACAGTGCTGTCTGTGATAGGGTATCCATATGCCTACAAGAAAGACCCGTTAATACCACTAGTATTCAAATTTACATATTGACAACTAAAGACAGTGATAATGATATCGAAGAATTCTATCAACTTCTTCAGTCTGAAACTGGTCAAACGTGCATTCAAGATGTATTGATAATCATTGGTGATTGGAATGCAAAAGTTGGACACAAAGAGGAAGGATCAGTAGTAGGAATATATGGCCTTGGTGATAGAAATAGTGCTGGAGATCGCATGATAGAATTTTTCAAGACCAATGGATTCTTCATTGCAAATACCTTTTTTAAGCAACGTAAAAGATGACTATACACGTGGACCTCACCAGATGGAATGCACAGAAATCAAATTGACTACATCTGTGGAAAGAAATGGTGGAAAAGCTCCATATCATCAGCCAAAACAAGACCAGGGGCAGACTGTATAACAGACCATCAATTGCTCATATGCAAATTCAGGCTGAAGCTGAAGAAAATTAAAACATTAACCAAAAATATGACCTCGAGTATATCCCACCTGAATTTGGAGATCATCTGAAGAACAAATTTGATGCATTAGACACTAAAGACCAAAGAATTGTGGGATGACATCAAGAATATCATACAGGAAAGAAGCAAAATGTCATTAATAAGATAAAAAAGAAGGAAAAGACCAAAATGGATATCAGAAGAGACTCTGAGGAATCTTGCTATCTAGTGTAGAGATGCTAAAGCAAATGGAAGAAGTGAGGAGGTACAAGAGCTGAACAGAAAATTTCAAAGGTCAGCTCAGGAAGACAAAGTCAAGTATTATAATGAAATGTGCAAAGACCTGGAATTAGAAACTCCTAAGGAAAGAACATGCTGCGCATTTCCCAAGCTGAGGGAACTGAAGAATAAATTGAAGCCTCTATTTGGGGTATTGAAGGATTCTGGGGGGAATATATTGAATGATGCAGAAAGCATCAAAAGTAGTTGGAAGGAATTCATAGAGTCACTGTGCCAGAAAGAAATGGTTGATGTTCAGCCATTTCAAGAGATAGCATATAATCAAGAATTAATGATCATGAAGGAAGAAGTGCTCTGAAGGCATTGGCAAACAACAAGGCTCAAGGAATTGATGGAATACAATTGAAATCCTTCAACAAATGGATGTGGCACTTGAGGCATTCACTCATCTATGCCATGAAATTTTGAAGCCAGCTGCCTGGCCAGTTGATTGGAAGAGATCTCTATGGGCCCATTCCAAATAGTGGTGACCCAACAGAATGCAGAAACAATTAAATAATATCATTAATAACACATGCAAGTAAACTTTTGCTGAAGATAATTTTTGAAACGGCTGCAATAGTACGTTTACAGGGCACTGCCAGAGATTCAAGCCAGATTCAAAAGAATATATGTAACTAGGGATGTCATTGCTGATGTCAGATGTATCTTGGCCGAAAGCAGAGAATACCAGAAAGATGTTTACTTTTGCTCTATTGACCATGCAGAGGTTTTCAACAAACTCATGGATAACGTTGTGAAGAATGGGTATTTTAGAATACTTAGTTGTGCTCATGAGAAACCTGTACATATACCAAGACTCAGGGGTTCAAATAGAATAAGGGGATACTGAATGGGTTTAAGATCAGGAAAGGTTTATGCCAGGGCTATATTCTTTCACTATATTTATTCAGTCTGTATGCTGAGCACATCATCGGAGAAACTAGATTGTATGAAGAACATGGCATCATGATTGGAGGAAGACTTATGAACAACCTGCCATATGCGGATGATACAGCCTTGTTTCTGCAAGTGAAGAGGCTTAAATACTGACTGATGAAGATCAATGACTACAGCATTCTTTAGTATGGATTATACCTCAATGTCAAGAATAAAAAAATATTCACAACTGAACCAGTATATACATCATGATAAATGGAGAAGAGATTGAAGTTGTCAGATTTTATTTTGCTTGTATCCACATGAACACTCATAGAAGCAGCAGTGAAGAAATCAAATGCTGTATTGCAATAGTCAAATCTGTGCAAGACCTTTAAAGTGTTAAAGAGCAAAGATACCAGTTTGAGAACTAAGGTAAGCCTGACCCAAGTCATGATATTTTCATTAGCCTCCTGTGCATGTGAAAGCTGGACAGTGAATAAGAACGACTGTAGAAGAACTGATACATTTGAATTGTGGAGTTAAAGAAGAATGCTGTGAATACCATGGATTGCCAGAAGAACAAACAGATCTGTGTTGGAAGAAATACAGTCTGAGTGTTCCTTAGAAGCCAGAATGGCCAGACTTAGTCTCTCATACTTTAGACGTATTATCAGGAAGACCTGTTTCTGGAGAAGGACATTATATTTGACAAAGTGGAGGGTCAGTGAAAAAGAGGAAGACTCTTCATGGGATGAATTGGCGCAATAGCAGCTGAAATGAGCTAAAGTGTACCAATTGTGAGGATGTCACAGAACTTCATAGCAACCTTGTATAGGGCTTCCAAGGAGCAGCTGGTGAGTTTGAACTGCTTACTATCTGGTTCAAACTGACCTTGTGATCCAGTACTTTATCCAACAGTGACACACCAGAATTCTGTCACAGGATCACACAGTGTTTTTATCTGTTATGTATAGGGTCACTGTGTTTCGGAACTGACTCAGTGGTACCTAACAACAACAATAACCACCACAACAACAATATGTAGTATAAGCATTTGACCCACCCTATACAGGGTTCAGAAACCCAAAACAAAGTTCAGAAGGTAGGAAGGGGGGGAAGGGAAGACAGACAAGTGGAAATGGTGACTCAGGGTGGAAGTGGGAAGAGCGCTGTTACATTGGAGAGATTACAACTCATATGAAAAAACTCAAGTTGGTCACAATGAGTTGGAACAGACTTAATGTCACATAAAAATAACAGGCGAAGTCTTATTATTGGACTACTTTCTAGCTGATATATTGCAGTATGGTGTAGACATCTTTGTTGTTGTTAAGTGCTGTGTCAAGTTGGTTCTGACTCATAGTGACCCAAGGAACAGCTGGTGAGTTTGAACCGCTGATCTTGTGGTTCAAACCAACCTTGTGGCCCAGTGCTTTATCCCACAGTACCACACCAGGACTTAGAATCTAGAATTTGATGAAGTAGAAATCTTAGAATCAAGAGTTTTTACATTTTGCCTTTGTAATTGAATTTGACATAGTCTTGTTACACTTTGATAAGTTGGTATACAACTTCTCATGTTTCCTAAGGCCTCATTGATGAATAAGCTTAGCTCTTGAGTCTGAAGATGTTTACCTCATCTAGATTTTAGATTTTAAGATGTTTCACTCATGCTGCAATATATCAGCTACAAAGTAGTCCATTCATAAAAATTCTTGTAGAACTAGAATAGTTTCTGGAAGATATTATTTATCTTTATTATATACAGGGTCACTGTGGGTCAACAGACTTGAAGGTACTTAAAAACAATTATATTAAAGATAACTTTAGAGAATGAGTTTTAAAATGAAATTAAATGATTTCTTGTATTATAATTTTATCAAAACTTCAAGAATTTGAGAGACTCCTACTGGAGTCCTGGTGTGGCGTTGGGGGTTAGTTAATGTGTCAGACTGCAAAACTATTTGAACTGCAAGGTTGGCGGTTCAAGCTCACCAGCTGCTCCTCAGAAACCCTATACAGGGTCGCTATGGGTCAGAACCGACTCAACGGCACTTCACAACAACAGAAGTTTTGGAGCTCTGGTGTGGTGCTGTAGGATAAGCACTGGATTGCTAACCACAAGGTCAGCAGTTCAAGTCCACCAGCTGCTCTGGGAAACTGTATAGAAGGTTGTTATAAGTGAGAACTGATATGACAGCACACAACAACAACAGGAGTTTCAAAGTAGTTTTATTCTAATAAGTCAGAAACTTTTCAAGTGCCATTGTTGTTGTTGTTGTTAAGTGCAGTTGAGTCGGATCCGACCCATAGCAACCCTGTACCCATAGCGACCCTGAACAGGGTTTCCAAGGCTGTAAATCTTTACGGGAGCAGAACACCTCATCTGTCTCCCGCAGAGCCGCTGGTAGTTTCGAACTGCTGGCCTTAAGGTTCGCAGCCTGATTCGTGACCACTATGCTACCAGAGATGGTAAGTTTGTGGGCATGCTCTTTGCTATTTTCCTCTTGGGTAGGATGTGCTCCTTGTTGGGAAGTGATGCTGATATGGTTATGTTTTATAGCTATATTTGGAGTGGTGTAGTCTAATGCATATCCTGTCTCAGATAACATCACTTTTTTTTTTTCTTAATTACATATGTTATATCCTCTTGTCTTTTTTTTTTTCCCCTCAAAAGGTGGAAGTTACTAAAGAAGGCTATCTGAAAGTCTGCTAGCATGTCGAGAAGAAGGTTTGATTGCCGAAGTATCTCAGGCTTGCTAACTACGACGCCTCAAACTCCAATGAAATTGGAAAACTTTCATAACTTTTATACACTTACATCTAAAGAGCTAGGAAGGTAAGGAACCTAATTTATGTGTTTTGTGTGTTGTTTAAATTCAGATGGGGAGGAGGGCTTCTGCTTTTTTAATTGTTACTGTAGAACTCAACTTTGGATCATTATTTAAATAATGATTAGAAAGAATCACATTTCCTCTGTGATCATTAGGCAGTATACCCTCCTAACCGACTTGAAAATCAGATCTGTGGAAGTTTTAGTGAGTTTCTATTATACATCCCACCTAACTTTAGAGCCGCTGATAAGAAGTCTGGCCTCTTACTTCAGGCTGTGCGTGGGAAGAGGCAGCGTATCCTAGACTGCCAAACCAGCAACTGACTGTGAGACCTCAATTAAGTGTCTGTATCTCTTAGTGCCAGAGTTGTGAGGATTAAATTATTGTTTCAGAGGTGCTTGGTGTGATGCTGTGGGATAATGCACTGGACCACAAGGTCGGTGGTGCAAATTCACCAGCTGCTTCTCGGAAACCTTATGCAGTGTTGCTATGAGTTGGAACCTATTCAACAACACTTAACAACAGATTTTGATGCAGTGCTAGAGAAGTTTGTATTAAATAACATTTTTTAAAAATCTTAGTATACTGTGCTAGATTAAAAAAAAGAAGAAATAGATTCTACTCTTCTTTCCTAAATTTAGAAAATATTTTATAGTATCATTCTGTACTATAAAAATACCTGTTTTATGGTAAACCCTGTACAAATACTATGTTTGGGCGTAACTAAATTCTTTGAGGCCAAGGATTAACCTGATGTTGAGATTTCTTAGGACTAATTTTATAATACATATGGAAGTTACAAAAGATGTACAAATTAATTAATTATGTAATCAGCGTCTTTCAAAGTTTAAATAAAAAATGCTTACTGAAGTGTTAAGGAGCTCTGGTAGCATAGTGGTTACGAATCGGGCTGCGAGCCACAAGGTCAGCAGTTCGAAACTACCAGCTGTTCCACGGGAGAAAGATGAGGCTTTCTACTCCTGTGAAGATTTACAGCCTCGGAAACCCTATACAGGGTCGCTATGAGTCGGAACTGACTCCAAGGCACATAACAATAACAACAACTGACTGACGTGTTGGAAGATGATTATCAGTTTATCTTTCTCGTCTGATTTTAGTTCTAGAGATAAATGTTTTGGCTTGTGTCACCAAGTCCATTGTACAGTACAATTGCATGATTCGTTTTTATCTTTGAGAATTGCAATGTGAAAACAAAAATGGGCTAAACCGTGAAATGTATTTCTGTTCCTGGTGGTCTTTTCTCTTAGGGATAAAGAGGACTCCTGGCTTTTTCCCTTGTTAGCTGTTGGTTTTAACTTTTTTTCTTTTGCAAAGTAAGGATGATAATAGTGGATTGCACAACTCCTGCTAAATGTGTGGCTATTTAGTGGCATATGAAGAGAATTTAGAAGTGAATGATGGTGACAGTTGCACAGATGGTCACTGTGACTAATGTCACCGTATACTAAAGACAGGTTGAAAATGGCAGTGTTTGTGTGATAAGTATTTTATCACAATTTTTTAAAGTCTCTTGTGAAGAAATGGATGTTGTTGTTAAGTGCCATTGAGTTGGTTTTGACTCACAGCATTGGGTTTCTGAGGTTGTAAATCTTACAGGTGCAGAAAGCCTCATCTTTTTCCCACTGAGACTGGTGGGCTAGAATCTCCAACCTTGTGCTTATTAACAGTCCAATGCTTATCCTACAGTGCTTAAAAAACCTTTTAGGAATGTTTTTAAGACATTGTTTTGTTTTAGATCTGTAATTATTTTATAACAGGAAAGGTTAAGAATTTTGTTTTTGTTTTTAATAGTTGCCTTGGTCTGGCATTCTCTAGTCATGACATCTTTGTATTGGAAGGATTTTTGTTGTCAGTGGTTTTCTAATAAAGTTTTTAAGGGAATGTGATTTCTTTTTCTTTAAGATGAGAAGGTGGATTCGATGGTTGAATGTCATCCAGTTTCCTTCTATTGCAAAATGTTTAGAAAGTACTTTGGCACATATTTGAATATGCAAAGCCTCACAGTAAAGGACTTTAGTCCGGAGAGAACAGTCGCTGGAGAAGGATGTCATCCTGGGTAAGGTGGAGGGTCAGAGAAAAAGAGGAAGACCCCTAACGAGATGGATCAGCCAGGTGGCATCATTGATGGTGTCAAGTGTGGCGGCAGTAGTGAGGTTGGCCCAGGATAGGACATTGTTTCGTTCTGCTGTGCATGGGGTCGCTATGAGTCGGCTCCGACTCGATGGCACCTGACAACAACAAGTTTACTTTTTGCTGTAGGATAAGCACTAGACTGTTAACTATAAAGTTGGCAGTTCAAATCCACCAATCATTCTTCAGAAAACTCTGGGGAGCACAGTTCTACTCTGACACATATATGGGGTCACTATGAGTCAGAGTAAACGCCATGGTAACTACTTAACTGATTAGAAAGTGTATATAATTTTTCTGTGAGGGTTTTGGAGAAATGAAGCCTCAAGAGAGCAGTATTAAAAATTCTAAATTATTTAGCAAATGAGGTCCATTATGAATTCAAATAAGGTATGTAGTTCTTAACTTTTTTTAGAACAAAATATAATGATCAAATCTGATTCAAACAAATTCAGATTACTAATATTTCATTTAATCTTTTTATACAAAGACATAACATTTTACTTTTAATTGCTTTGGGCTACTGAGTCACATGCTAAATATTTATATATTTAATTAGTAAACCGTGATAAATTAGAAATCATGGCCTTTCATTTGGCTAGAAGATGCTTAATTTTACTTCAATATTCTTATTAATTTCAATATCCTATAATTTTGTGAAATAGAAATTAAGATCATAATCTTGTTTCCCCTGAGTCTTACACATTTTGAAGGTCATAGAGATATCTTTATAATTCTAACATGTGGTGAACAACAAAGTTATCTTTCTAAATCAAACATTTTTTTATTAATTTGAAGACAATGTCTAAGAATTTATGAACAGCAAACTCAAAAAGATACATACAAAATTCGGCTCATTTTTTACTATTTCAAACAACTTGCATTGTTCCTGTTTTTTAGCATGTTGGGTAAGTTTTTTCCACCCTTCCCCAAGTGAGGCAAGATTTCATAGAACTTGTGGTTAAAAGGGTGAGGCAGATTCAGAAATAAATGTCAGCTTCCTTTGTGGCTTACCCTCCCCCCTCCTTTCACATTTTATTGTGCATTCTAGAATGCAAAACAGCAACTGCAAGAGCTTTTCACCCCTGGGAAATCTCCTCAGCCTTTTAGGGCATGAATTAAATATTACTGTGAAGGATTTTACGTTTCCTTGAATTTTCTGTTAAATCAGGCACAGGAGCATACTCAATTAAAGATTTTATATTTTTGATAGTTCTAAATTGCAACTATTATTTTAAAACAGAAAAAAAAATTCCTGTTTTTTTCTAAGTTATTTGATAATTATATTTAAAATATTTACCTTATTTAGCAACAGGTAAGTGATTGGAATCTCAAATCAGCTTTAAACAATCCAAATGCATTAAGTATACAAAGTATTGTTGTTGTTGTTAAGTGCGTTGAGTCAGTTCCGACCCACAGCAACCCTGAACAGGGTTTCTGAGGCTGTAAATCTTTTCGGGAGCAGAACGCCTCATCTTTCTCCCACGGAACCGCTGGTAGTTTCGAACTGCTGACCTTGTGGTTCGCAGCCCGATTCGTAACCACTACGTATAACACAATATTAGTATGATAATATAGCAGTTGTTGCTAAGTGCCCTCTAGTCATAGTGACTCTCTATATAAGGTTTCCAAGAAGTATCTGCTGTGTTTGAACCACCAACCTTGTAGTTAGCATTCCAATATAACCATTGTATTCATTTAACAGATAACTGCACTGTTAGTAAGCACAGTATACATTTTATAATTACTATAGTAATGAGGACAAATATGGCCTCTACCCTCATGGAGCATTTATTTAATGGTGAGCATTATTACTAATGTTCTTTAGTCGTCTTTGCACTTGATTAATAAGTACAACCATACTTGTTGAAGAAAGCCTTTGTGAATGCCTGAAACAATTAGATAGAAAGTGTTACATATTTTATTTTGGCTTGTTGTTTCCGAGGGAATTATGGTTTATCTATAAGATTGTGACAGAACCAAATTATCACAATTGATTCTGTATTTATTTTCAGATGCATATTCTTGGCTAGCTAGTTTTTATTTCCTGAATTTTTACAAGGTAGATTTCTTTATAAAATTCACATTCTCATGCCTGTTTTAGACTCATTTTTGCTTCTAAATCTGAGTGAGAATTGGCAGAAGTGAGTGAGTTGCACTTCTTAAAAAAAATGATTTTAAAGGGAAGAATTATTTTGTAGTGGTTAGAACAGGAAGTTAAGAGTTTACATTCCACAGTTTAATTCTTGGCACTCTAATGCCATATATGACCTTTTGTAAGTCAGTTAATCTTATTCAGACTTAGTTTATCCAGATAACATTTTTAAATCCTGAGTTGTTTTAATATAAAGGAATTGATTTACTTTTTATGTGCTCATTTTAATGTATTGATTTGTATTCCTTTTGCATACAGTGAGATACTATTATATAATCAAATATTCTCCAACCTTAAAAGTGCTTTCAAATAATTAGAGTTGTAAATGCAAATTTATTTATTTTGTGTATATTTTGATAAGTGTAAGTGGTTCATTTTGTACCTTGGTCATTTTTTAAATTTTTATTTTTATTATTTTTTTAAAGTTTTTATTATTGTGAATTGAGTGAAAGTTTACAGGACAGATCATCAGTTTTACATTCAACAAATCATATACTTTGTTTCATTACAATGATTATAATCCCCTGCATGAACCATCTGTTAACAGTATTTCTCTCTATTTATTTTGCTTTCTTTTTTTTTAAACACTCAGGCTTATATAATAATTTACATCACCAAAGGGCATATTTTGCAAGTCGACCTCCTGGCTGCCAACTCTCAGTCCTTCTCTTTCCATGAATCTAGAGTCCTCAGCTGCTCCCTCTCTCCATGTCCTCATCTCTGCCTCCATCTCTGATGTCACTGCTTCTCTGGATGAGGTCCCACATTCCGCTTGTGCTTTTCTCCCTTGATGGTCCTAGGGTCCTTTGTTTTTTGAACTGTAAGATTAACTACTCCCCCATTTTTGTTACAAAACATCTACCCTTATAATTGGGACAGTTGCAATTAGTTGGTATAAAAATTACTCAGTATTGAATCATAAGAATCTTGTCCTCATCTCTTTTTATCAGACCCATCTAGACAAGATAAAAACTGTTCAGTGGGGACTCTAACATCCCCCCCCCCACATTCTTAAACTAAACTCCCTCTTGAAACCTTGTAAGCCAGTCACTTAATGCTGTTACCGCCTCCTCATTTTAGGTAGCCAGTGTCTAAGTTGCCCATCCCTATCTACACTGTGTACAGAGGGGATAGCATTGATACTTGATGTGAAGACTCCTTCCCTCTCTGTTGGTATTTAGAGCTTCTACCTCCATGAGTATAGGTCAAGTTATCAAAAATTATTGTTGTTGGGGTTTTTTTCATCTTCCTCTAGTTGAGTTCTGATTATCAAGCCATTGAGTCTAGGTACTATTTGCAAGTTAGTATCTTGCATCTCCCCTCACTTCATATCAGCTGGATGCTTCACTCTCAGATATAGCCCTCTGTGGCTTTGTCCTTGTCCATGGGCTCAGTTGTCCCCAGGTCTCACCACACTTTGGACCAACCAGCCCTTCTTCATCTCTCTCTCATCTCCAGGTCAATGGGAGTCTATGGAACTTAGTAAAACTCAGCCCATTTCTTCACTGCTGCCTTTCCTTCTCTTCCACTCAACAGTAGACCAACGTGGTCACCAGCAAGCTTTCATGCCTTCTCATGTGTTCCTTTGAGTTTCAGTCTTGGAGAGGGGTTTGTCCTGAAAGGACTTGATTGCTTGCCTTGATGACTTCCCGGTGAACAACTTCGTATTCTTGTAGTAGCCAGTCATACTACCATTTTTGTTTTGGGTTTTTCCTGATGATCTTTCTTTGAAGATGTATCTTCTGTTGCTCTAGCTAGCTGTTCCAGGATGGTCTGCTTGTTCTTTCTAGTGGGAATGTCTCACCTCAGAAGGTTCTGGATGGGACTCAGGATTCCAACTAAGGTCCGTATGCTGCAAAGTCTCCACAAGAGGCCTATTTCACTGGGCAAGTTGTAGAACCCCTTTTAGGTGTTCCAATCAGTTATAGGCTGAAGATGGGCTTACAAGCTTTCTGTAATCGTTCCCGACATTCCTTTCTATCCCATGGAAATATCTATTTTACAATTGTTGTTGTTATGTGCCGTGGAGTCGGTTCCGACCCATAGCGACCCTGTACAGGGTTTCCGAGGGTGTAAATCTTTACGGGAGTAGAAAGCCTCATCTTTCTCCTTGGAGCGGCTGGTAGTTTCGAACCGCTGACCTTAAGGTTTGCAGCCTGATTCGTAACCACTACGCTACCAGAGTGTTCCCCTATCTACCTTGTTCTTCCACCCCCTCTCCCTTCTTGTATATTTTCCTTCCCAACACCTGAGCTATGTTGTGTCTGCCAATATTCATAAGACAGTCAAGCATCTTAGTATTATTTCCCCTCTTCAGACTATGCCTTGATCCCTGTATCACAGAACCCTGTTGTTGCAAGGTTGCGCACGCATCACTATTTACCTCTGTCCCATTTAGCCCATGCAAACCTGTCTTCATGTTGTGAGTCAGTTCCGACTCATAGAGACCCTGCACAGGGTTTCTGAGGCTGTTAATCTTTACGGGAGCAGAACACCTCATCTTTCTCCCGCGGAGCAACTGGTAGTTTTGAACTGCTGACCTGGAGGTTCGCAGCCTGATTCATAACCACTACGCTACCAGAGTGTTCCCCTATCTACCTTGTTCTTCCACCCCCTCTCCCTTCTTGTGTATTTTCCTTCCCAACACCTGAGCTAGGTTGTGTCTGCCCCCTACCCTATGCTCTATCATCGCCTCCCCCCAACCCCCCCAAACTCCCCCACCCCACCCCCACCATAACCAACAAAAAAAATTTTTTTTTTTAACTCTGTTAGTATGGGTATCTTTTCTTAAGCTTTTACAATAATGGTCTTATGCAATATTTGTCCTATTGTGACTAATGTCACTCAGCATAATGTCCTCAAGGTTTATCCATCTCACGTAGTGGCTTACAGCTTCCTTGTTATTCTTTAAGGTAGGGTAATACTCCATTGTATATAGTGAAGTGTGTTTATCCATTCTTCCATTGATAGGCACGTAGGCTGTCTCCATCTTTTTCCTATTGTGAATAGTGCTGCTATGAACATTGGTGTGCATGTATCTACTCGTGTTATGCCTCGTATTTCTTGTGGATATATACCAAGTAGAGGAATTGCTGGATCATATGGTATTTCTATTTCCAACTTTATGAGGAAGTGCCATGCTGTTTTCCAGAGTGGTTGGATCATTCTGATTTCCCACTAGCAATGTAGGAGGGTCCTAGTCTCTTCACATCCTCGCCAGCGTTCATTGTCCTCTGCGTTTTTTAAGTCCTCTGCATTTTTTAACATTGCTGTTATTGTTTGTGTGAGATGGTATCTCGTTGTTTTGATTTGCATCTCTCTAATGGGTAATGATTGTGAACATTTCTTAAGATGTTTATTGGCTGCCCGAATGTCTTCCTTTGTGAAGTGTCTGTCCATGTCTTGTGCGTATTTTTTAATTGGATTACTTGTCTTTTTCTTGTAGAGGTGTTGTAGTTTCCTATAAATTTTAGAAATTAGTCCCTTGTATAATTGCAAAGATTTTTTCCCATTCTGTGATCTCCCTTTTTACTTTTTTGGTGAAATCCTTTGATACACATTTCTGAGTTTTAGAATGTCCCAGTCATCCATTTTGTCTTCTTTTGTGAAATTTTTGCAGTGTTTGGTAGTCTGTGTGTGCCCTGGATTAAAGCCCTTAAATTTGTCCCTAATTTTTCATTGATGACCTTTATAATTCTGGGATTCACATTTAGGTCTTACCTTGGTTATTTAAAAATATATGTAAAATTTTTATAGCATTTGTAACAATATTTTTTCAAGTTGGTTTTCAGTGTTTTGGGTTTCCAAGGAGCAGTTGGTGGCCTTGAACCACCAACCTTGCAGTTTAAATGACTTTGCAGTCTGATGCATTAGCCCACAGCACCACATCAGGACTCTTTGTACTGTATTAGTCTTATTGTTGTTGTTGTTGTTATGTGCCGTGGAGTTGGTTCCGACTCATAGCGACCCTGTACAGGGTTTCTGAGGCTGTAAATCTTTACAGGAGCAGAAAGCCTCATCTTTCTCCCATGGAACAGCTGGTAGATTCAAACTGCTGACCTTACAGTTAGCAGCCTGATTCATAACCACTAAGCTACCAGAGCTCTTTTCTAGCAGACAACAAAACTAACCAATCTCCTTGTTAGTGTTTGGAAACACACAGGGTAGCCATAAGTTGGACTCAACTTCAGTTGAGTTCCATGGAAACCCTATACAGGGTCGCTATAGGTCGAATGGGCTAGGTGGCACTTAACAACAAATGATAGTAAAACAAGTTTATTACTGAGAGAACTTGTCTGCAGTCATCTTCTGATTTCAAATACATGTTTAAACAGATTTTGATTAGAATAAGCCTATGTATATATGACCTCTAGAAGCATTTGAAAATAAAATCATATATACATATATGTACTTTTTATGAAGCATATCCATGGAACTGTCATGCAAAAATGATTCTATCCACCCTGCCCAACAACGATAATATCATCTGACCAGTGAGGACTAAATAAAAATATGTGTCTTACACGGTTAACTACAGTTTGTTACTTATATTTTTAATGTCACAATAGTATAATTTCTATCAAATTATGTAAAATCTTTAATTCTTATTTCAACATAAAAGTTTAAATTAATTATACTTATTTTTCCTTTCAGAGGAAAATTTGCTGTGGTTAGACAATGCATATCAAAATCTACTGGCCAGGAATATGCTGCAAAGTTTCTGAAAAAGAGACGACGAGGACAGGATTGTCGAGCAGAGATTCTCCATGAGATTGCTGTACTCGAATTAACGAAGTCTTGCCCCCGTGTGATTACTCTTCATGAAGTCTATGAAAATACAAGTGAAATCATTTTGATATTGGAATAGTAAGTATTCATGTTAGCAAATTTAAGATATATGTATGGTACCTGTTTAAATTAGTAGGGTAAGCTGACTTTTAAAATATCAAGAATAAGAATGATAAAATAATAAGAACTTACACAGGTTTCTATTGGTATTATGTTAAATGGACACAATTTATTTGAAAATATTTTTGCAAGGCTAAATGTACAGTCTTACACACAAAAATTTAAGGCACTAATTAAATAGCACAAAATAATGAATGACATGCAATGTTTAGGGAATGTGGAAGAATGAGTATATTTTGCTAAGGGCATGGAAAGTTGATTGAATTATTCTGGAAAACCATCTGATGGGCAAATAGAAATGAAGTAATTTATAAATTTTGCCCAGCTATTTGAAAAGCACCTTAAGAAATGACCCAAGGACTGTAAAAAGGTTAGCTATATTAAGTTGTAGCTAACACAGTGTTGTTTAAAGAAACATGTAATTATGTATGTGTATAAAATACAATATTAAAAAACTATAGTTATAAGAAATTAAACATATCCCTTCTCATAAGTCATTGAAAAATGGAAAACACCAAATATTCAGCAACTTGTCAGATGCAGAGAGAGGATGATTAAGTACATTTCCTAGAACACTTGAGATACCATATTAAGGTATGTTTTAGCACCCTCAAAATAAATTAGAATGCCAGAAAAGACCAGGATGTACCAGTATGACTTCATACATTTTGTAGTTGTTTTTGTTCAGGATTTTTCATCTTACCTTAGAACAGTTATCTATTTGCATGACATCTGCATGTATGAAGTATGTAAACATTAGCTAACATTTTTTTTAAAAACAGTAATAAAATATTTATGACTTTCATAAAAACCTCTTTTGTGCAGCAACAAAATTTATCAAATATAGCTCAGATAGAGGCTGTATTCATGCTCTAAAACTGATCCAGGCAAGTTATCCAGCAAACTGAATTCTCTAAGGGCAGGATTCTGTACCTTTTGACTGAAATGTAACAGACACTGAGCAAACATTTGAGTGAATTAGTATATTTAATTTATCAGGGCAAATGAGACTGAAATTTATTGCTAGGTCTTTATTTAATTACCACCTTTGTTATGACATAGCCTTATGATATATACCAATCAAAGGTAAAAACTTGGTGGTGGTTGTGTTGTTAAGTGCCGTCGAGTCGGTTCCGACCCATAGTGACCCTGTATAGGGTTTCCGAGGAGTGACTGGTGAGCTTGAACCACCGACCCTGCAGTTCAAACAACTTTGCTGTCTGGCGCATTAACCCACAGTGCCACACCAAAACTTGGTAAGATGGGTGAAAATCTTTATATGGGAAAAATAAAAGTGGAATTTTTTACAAGAACTGTTACTAAGTTTGCCGCCTACCCAGTCACTGTATGTACTCATTTTTTGCCTTCAATTTTGCCTTTAATTTTGCAAAATTGTAGCATGAGCAGTAAAAATTAACACCTTTATTTATACCTTTCACCTTGGTTCACCAGTTGTTGACGTTTTGTCACATTTACTAAACCATTTAAAGTACATTGTTGATACTGTGGTGCTTTACCTTTGCGTGATTTATTTCTAAGAATAAAGGCATTTTTATACATAGCTACAACCTATAAAAGGTTAACAATGATTCCATAATATCATCTAATATAAACAGAGACTATGTTAAATTTCTGTTTTTAGCTTCAAATGTCTAATGTTGCTAAGTGCCATCACGTCAATTCTGACTTACAGCAGCCCTGTATGGGGTTTCCAAGGAATGGCTGGTGGGTTTGAACCATCAACCTTGAAGTTAGCAGTACAACGCTTATCCTACAGTGCCACACCAGGATTCCAAATGTTTTAGAGCCCCATTTTATTATTTTCTTTCCAATAAAAGGTCCAATTAATATGAATAGATTGTACTTGTGTTAAGCTTTTGTAGTCAGTTGGGTTTTTTTTTTTCTCCCTTATTTGGGCGGAAATTTATGCCAGTTGTCATGTGAAATGTCCCACATTCTAGTCTGATTGTTCCTCTTAATTAGACTTTGGTTAGATATTTTTGGCAAGAAAAAAATGTAAGTGGTGATATGTATTGTTTATTATATCAGATCTGCTGGCAGTACTATCAGTTTGTTCCATTATGGTTTTGCTAAGTTTGAACATGATTAAGGTAGTGTCTGATGGCTGTCTCCATTGCAAAGGAACATTTTTCCATTTGTAATTAAAAAGTAATCTGTATAGTGATATTATGAATCCATGTGAAAATTCTCTTAACTTTTCATCCAGTGATTTCATTGACCATTGATGGTATTTTCCTGGATTACTGATTACAGTGGATGTTACAAAATAGTGATTTTCTAATTATATTACTCCTTTGGGAGTCCCTGGTGGTCCAAACAATTAGTGCTCAGTTGCTAACTGAAAGATTTGGAACCCACCCAGAGGCACCCTGGAAGAAAGTCTTGGCAGTCTCTTCCAAAAACTCTGCCACTGGAAACCCCATGAAGCAAAATTCTACTCAGAATTCAAAGGAATCATCATGAGTCAGAGTCCACTGGAAGGCAACTGATGATTATCCCTTCTAATATGATTAAGCTCGTAGTCTTCTGTAAAGAAGAGCTTCCTTACTTCTCTTTCCCTTTTATAAATGTCACTGTGGATTTGTGGTTTGGTTTGTTACTGCTTTTGAATTAATGGGTTATAATCAGCCTCTTGTCTTTTACATGTTAGGTTGCTCCAAATTTAGCCAGTAGTGCTCTTTCAAGCTTCTTCCTGTGTCCTTTTGAAATGACCTTCCTTGCTTTATGGCAGGAGATTTCCAGGCTCAACCATGTATTGTTTCCCTGCCCTAGACCTGGTGTGGCACTGCAGTGTAATGCGCTAGACCCAAGGTCATATTTGAGCTTCGGTGATTCAAAACCACCAACCACTCCTTGGAAACCCTACATAGAGTTGTTATGCATCGGAACCAACTCAGCAGCACTTAAAAACAATAGACTTGGAATCAGTGGTCTCTCCAAGAAGTTCTGGCTCCTTTTAGTGGAAAATGGTTCTCAGAAACCAAGATCTGGATGCTGATTTTTAGGCCTTTTCCAAGAATGTTGTTGTTAAGTGCTGTGTTAAGTCAATTCCAACCCATAGCGACCCTGTATAGGCTTTCCAAGGAGCAGCTGGTGAGTTAAATCACCAACCTTGCAGTTCAAATAACTTTGCAGTCTGATGCATTAGCCCACAGCACCACACCGGGACTTTCCAAGAATAGTCCTAGGAAATGATGTTTTTAAAAATAATAATTCATTCTGGTCGCCCCAATTCAAATCTGCCACAAGGCCCTTTATCACCTTCTCTAATTCCATATTTGTATCTCTGTTTTCCCCGCATGAAAACCCTGGTATCCAATATTAGCAAATAATGACTCATTTGCTCTACCCTGTTAATATCCTGCAATATACAGTATACAAAATAATTTCAGCATTACAATACTAACCCCATGATCAACAGCACACTATTTAGTAAAGTTCAACATTTCTTTGCTGTTCTTTTTGTCCTTAGAATATAACTGACTAGAGGTGTATTGTCAGTTATATAATTAGGTACATTTACTTATCTTTGTATTTAAATTTGGGATATGATTTTTTAAAACACTTTTTAAAAAAATTATGAAACATTTACATGACTCAAAGCACAAAAATACATATAGAAATATACCTTTATAGACGATATTTATGTTATTTAATGATAACCTTTTAGGCTTAATGCTGATAATGATTATGTTAGGGAAATGCCTTTATTCTTAGAGATAGATCCTTCAGCATGCAAAGGTAAATTATCATAATATCTAGAGCTAAGATTCAAATTGTCAATAAATATGGCAAACTGTCAGCAACTGGTGAATCGAGATGATGTGTATAAAGGTGCTAATTCAGCATCTCTGCTGTTGTTGTTTTTGCAAATGATTTTATTTTGAGAGGTTTCCTTTAAAGTTAAAGACTATAAGCAGAAAAGGTGAGGTTGAGGGTGCCTTGGCCACTCTTCCCTCAGGAGACCTGGAAGGAGTTATGATAACCAAGGGGCTCTGGGGCAATCTTTATACTACCTATTCAAAAGGATTCATTTCTACCTTCTTTAGAATAAAAATGAGCACATAGAATATAAATTTCTATTATCCTTCTGTGTACCTTAATTTGAAGTTGACAGTTATAAACTTGGCAGTGCAATGGCTCCATATGATAAGTACTGGATTGTGAACCACAAGGTCTGTGGGTCCTAAGGAGAAAAATGAGACTCTGCTCCTGCAAAGATTGAAAGCCTCGGAAACCCTATACAGGCGCACTATGTGTCAGAACAGACTCAACAGCACTTTACAACAGCATTATACATTTAATCGTAAACTCAATATTTTAAACTCAGATTAACTGTCTTTACCATTCAACAGATGTTGAAGTTAATTTATTATGAATTTTCCAGGAGTTGAAAATAGAAGAATGGGAGGTAGTAGTGTAAAATATCTGTGATCAGAACTTACACTGTATTCCTTACTAGCTTCCCCACAGAGTTTTCTCTAGAATGTAGACCAAATGAAAAGGCAAATCCCTATGGCCTCTGTTGTTGTTGTTGTTATGTGCCATCGAGTCGGTTCCAACCCATAGCGACTCTAACACCGTCCAAATGGCTAAATTACAAATTGCATCTGCACTGTGATGTGTCCGCCCTGTGACTTTCCATTTGGGACTCAAATTTGAGACTACCGTTGATTATTTTTTTATTTTTATTCTCATGGCTTTTCATGACGTGCAGTCACCAAAAGCTGCTGAATCTCAGTTCCAGCGCCTTTAAAGAATGACGACTTAAGCCAGCATTCATTTATTCAGTAAATACTATTGAATACCTACCAAATGCCAGCACTGTTCTTGCGGCTAAGTATACAGCAGTGAACCAAATAAATAAAAATAGCAGTGTTTATTATAGACTGAGTGAATTTTTCATTTTATCACAAAGGATGTGCTTTACTTGAGACATTCTCAAACATACCTGTTTTTTTTTTTTTTGCAGTGATATACCCATTTTATAGAAGAGAAACTCTAATTAAGTGACTAATTCTAAATTGCATTGCCTGTATATAGCAGAACTAAGATGTAAATTCAGATAATTGGTTTCTGAACTTAGGATTTTTTACTATACCTTAATCAGCATTTCTGTATGTTTTCAATTCATTACAGAGAGAAAGAGATAGAGAGAGAGCGTTAGACCCTGAGTATTCTGTGTGAAGCTGCAATACTGGTACCATGTATTAGGTCAAGGAAGCAGAGTCTCATTGTGCCAATTCACATTCTTACACCACCCACCACTTCCCCAACGCCCTGTCCGTGTTTACTGTGTGACCTTGTGCAAGTTGCTGAACTTCTTTGTACCTATTTCTTATCTGTAAAATTGGAAGTGATAACCATCTACATCACAAGGTTGTCACATGGATCAAAGTAAATGTTATTCGTATATGTATGTGTATGTATGTATATAGGTATTTATGAGGGGTCTCCAAAAAATTGTGGAAGCATTCCATTCTATTATGATTCCATTTTCCATGAACTTTCTATATGTGTGTATACAGGCCTGGAACAAAGTTGAGCTCATAGTGTAGTGTTATTATTTTTAATGCAGTGCCATAGTAGACTATAATATTATTGAATTATAAAGCTATTTAATTTTATTTATTGATTATCCCGTTATTAGTATTCAGAATTTAAAGTATTTCCATCATGGTGGTTGGTGGTGGTTATGTGCCGTGAAGTCGGTTCTGACTCATAGTCACCTTGTACAGGGTTTCTGAGGCTGTAAATCTTTAGGGGAGCAGAAAGCCTCATCTTTCCCCCGTGGAACATCTGGTAGTTTCGAACTGCTGACCTTAAGGTTCGCAGACGTATTCGTAACCACTACACTACCAGAGCACCTTATATATCCTTAAAAATCCCTCCTCTTTCCCTAGATAATACTAGTCCTTAAGTATATGTAGTGACTAAACTTTAGATGGCTATTGTCTTTTGCTTAACCAGGTATAAAGTATTTCAAACCTGCCATTTATAGATTAATGATTTCTCTCAAGTTTCTAATATTTTCGTTTTATTTCAGTGCTGCAGGTGGGGAAATTTTTAACCTGTGTTTACCTGAACTGGCTGAAATGGTCTCTGAAAATGATGTTGTCAGACTCATTAAGCAAATACTTGAAGGAGTTTATTATCTACATCAGAATAACATTGTGCACCTTGATTTAAAGGTAATGTAGCATGTGAATTTAAGTGATGTAACTAACATCTGTGTCTCTCCTCTGTTCTTGGTATGCACAGTTGCAAGCTGGCATTAACAGGAAACTACAGTCTGGTCATGGCTTCCTGTATTGCACTGGATGATCTGTTAGCTTCCTCTGAGCTTCATGGCCTTCATTTGAATTGGCAGAGAGAAGGCTGCATGTATTATCAACTTACAAAGCATCCTTCCTATGTGTTCTAATCATGTAGTTATTCCACTTCATGTGTTTCTTACAGCTACATCCTGTACCATCTTGTATTATAAAACTGTCTACCCCTGAAATACTCAATTCAAATCTGCATCCCTGAAAATTGCCTCCTACTGGTCCTCATTTGTTTGCTCTCACTGTATCAATTCATCTTTCTCTTGTGGCTTTCAGTCTTTGACTCTTCCTCCCCCTATCCCTACCCCTGGATCATTTAGGCCTCTTGTCTAGGCCCCTAAACTAACACTAAAGCCTCTCATGCTCTTACCATTTCTCCTTAGTTCCTCCACAGCCACCCAAGGATCTTCAGATCTGGATCTAATTGTCTTCCATGTCTTTGGACATAGGACCCTTCTCTTTTTATACAGTCTCCCTGTATGATCCTGTATCCTCCACTACTGTCATCATAATGTCTCTACTTGTATCTTAGGCCTTTCTCCTGAATTCCAGATTCTTTTTTCCAATTGCAAATTAGATAGCTTTTAGATGTCTTGTAGTTAACTGCTGTTAAGTTTGTTCTGACTCATAACAACCCTGTGTAGGGTTTCCAAGGCTTTGAATCTTTATGGAAGCAGAAAGCCTCAACTTCCTCCCATGAGTGGCTAGTGAGCTGGAATCACTGACCTTGTGGTTTGTAGTCCAGTGCTTATTGTATGGAGTCACCATTCTCCCCAGGTGTCTTGGAGAAAATTTATGTCTAAATTTGGATTTTTCCACCATTCCCTATTTTTCTTCCACCTTTAAAAACAATACCAGAAAAGCCCGATCTTTCTTTTGGACTATGAAAAGGAGAGGCATTTACTGTCTAGCATCACTGCCATTTCTCTTACTGATAATAAAATGTTGGACAAAAAGCAACATGGTAAGTATCAGGATAATCATATTCCCACCACTTTTGTGTGGGGTCTTTTTCATGCTAAAGACAAATCAAGTTCATTAAATAGCGCCACACAGCTCTTGAATCAGGAGTGGCATATAAACCTGACTTTGTATACTTATAAAGCCTGTGGTCAAGAGCAACAGAGCTAGTGATCCTTTCCTGTTTTCCTGGAATGGTCTCTATGATTTGACAATGAAGAGACTGTTACGATTCTTCTCACAGACTTTGGATGTAGTACCTCAGCAGGTGTATGGGCTATGGCATCAACAGGGAGATATATAATAGGTTTAGGCCTGCAATAGCAAAACAGAATTTAAGTTCTGGAAGATAACGGAGAAATGCTAGGAAAATTCAGACCTGACTTATCCAGAACCATCACACTGGGTACTGAACATTTTTCTGTTTCTGTATGCATTTCATTCCTTCATGCCTTTTTCCGTACTGTTCCTCAGAACATCTTTCTAACTGGTGTACTCTTTCTTATCCTTTAGGATTCAGCTTAAGTGGCATTTTCTACTGAAAAGCCTTCTTGGGCAAAATTTAGTATTCTTTATTATTGGGTACTACCTGTCTGTCTGTATATTTATCTACCTAACTCTCTTCTATGAACTGCCTGTCACTTTGTTGTACTGTGTGTTGACATGATGCTGGAAGTGATGCCATGAGTATTTTAAATACCAGCAGGGTCATCCATGGTGGCCAGGTTTCAGCTGAGCTTCCAGACTAAGACAGGCTAGGAATAAGGGGAGAGGTGGATTACTTTTGAATGTGTAGCCAATGAAAATTTATGAATGGCAAGAGAACACTGTCGAATAGCACCAAAATATGGGATATTCAAACATGGTGAATAATACCAGAATATTATCAGATATAGGCAAATCTGCACAAGACCTTTTTAAAGTGTTCAAGAACAAAGATGTTAGTTAGAGGACTAAGGTGCACCTGATCCAAGTCATGGTATTTTCAGTAGCTTCATATGCATGTGGATGTTGGACAATGAACAAGGAAGACCATAGGAGCTCTGGTAGCGTAGTGGTTACGAATCGAGCGTTGTTGTTGTTGTTGTTAAGTGCCTTCGAGTCGGTTCCGACCCATAGCGACCCTGTACAGGGTTTCCGAGGGTGTAAATCCTTACGGGAGTAGAAAGCCTCATCTTTCTCCCGCGGAGCGGCTGGTAGTTTCGAACCGCTGACCTTAAGGTTCGCAGCCCGATTAGTAACCACTACGCTACCAGAGCTCCTTACGAATCGAGCGTAGTGGTTACGAATCGGGCTGCGAACCTTAAGGTCAGCGGTTTGAAACTACCAGCCGCTCCGCGGGAGAAAGATGAGGCTTTCTACTCCCGTAAAGATTTACACCCTCGGAAACCCTGTTACAGGGTCGCTATGGGTCGGAACCGACTCAACGGCACTTAACAACAACAACAACAATAGAAGAATTAATGCATTTGAGTTGTGGTGTTGAAGAATATTCAAAGTACCATGGACTGCTAGAAGATCAGACACATCTGTGTTGGAAGAAGTATAGTCAGACTGCTCCTTACAAGACAGGATGGCAAGCCATTGTCTCTCATACTTCTGAGATATTTTCAGGAGAGACCAGTCCCTGGAGAAGGACATCATGATTAATAAAGTGGAAGGTCAGCGAAAAAGAAGAAGACCCCCAATGAGATGGAATGGCATAGTGCCAACAGCAGTGGGCTCAAGCTTAAGAAGGACTGTGAGGAGGGTGCAGGACTGGGCCGTGTTGTTTTCTGTTGTGCATACGGTTGCTGTGAGTCAGAGCCAACTCAATGACAACTGACAGCATCTCTCTTGTCTCTGAATTAAAGATATCTTTGAGGGTGTATTTGCATTGTTCTTTCTAAACGTTGTAGCTGTTGTTAAGTGGCATCGAGTCAGTTCCGACTCATAGCAACCCTGTGTAGGGTTTCTTAGAAGACTGAGTTTAAATTGCCCACCTTGTGGTCCAAACGGACCTGATGATTCAGTGCTTATCATACAGCACCATACCAGGACTTCCTTTTTCTAAATAGTATTTCAGTAAATGATGAGTAACTCAAGGAAATATGAGGGGCTTCAAGAATCACATGAAAAACTGGGGTTGAAAGATAATAGAATTTTTCCATCAATCTTTTAAAGGCTCCTCATATATAATTGCTAAATTTGAGTTGAGACTGCTTTTATTGTTAAGACTAGTATTCATTTATTGTATGTTACTTATCATTTTTCTTATGCTTTATTTAGCCACAAAATATATTATTAAGCAGTATATACCCTCTTGGAGACATAAAAATTGTGGATTTTGGAATGTCAAGAAAAATTGGAAATGCATGTGAACTTCGGGAAATAATGGGTACTCCAGAATACTTAGGTAAGAATTTCCTTCTATTTTCTACACCTTTAAAATTTGTATTTAAGCAAATGATGCTCTTATAAAACAATATTTTGCAACATATAATTCCAGGACACTTTTAGTTCAAACATTTGAATGCACTGAAACTCAGTTTTGATGCCTTTATATATGGAGTCCTGGTATAGCGTTGTGGGCTAATGCTTCAGACTACAAAGCTGTTTGAACTGCAAAGTTGGTGGTTCAAGCTCACTAGCTGCTCTTTGGAAACCCTATACAGGGTCGCTATGGGTCGGAGTCGACTCGATGGCGCTTAACAACAACAACAATATAGATCGGTGTATGTAGTGTTATTAAGATATTCAAAACAGTTCACAGGTCATTGAAAATGTTAGTATTAAAGTTTAGTTTTTGTATGCACAGGTTTTATACATAGAAAGAATAAAATGGGTAAAAGGAGACAGGAAGTTAGAAAACAGGAGAAAATGGGGTGGGGAGTAAACTGAGAGAATTCAGTAACCCATTATTGTTGCCCTTGAAGCCCAGTTGTTGGGTAGACCCCACATGCTGGCCCAAGTCCAAAGCTATTTACAGTACAAGCATCTTATTTGGCAGCAGTTGTTAGTACTACTCCTTGCTGCATGTGGCTTTGCGGCTGCTGCTCTAAAATGTGAAGATTGTGCTTAGAGTTGTGAAAGGATGACTTTGAAAAAGCGTGCCAAAAAGAATCTATGATTAGGCATTCTGGGATTATTGTACTAAATTCATCAAATTCCATTAGGTATGTGAAAGGTTTTTGAGCTCATTTAAATATAAAGTATTTTAATTAATAGTAATAATTCTTTTTTTAACCTTTTTTTGTTGTTGCTCAAGTTGATATTCCCATACATGTATTGAATAAATGTACCTCAACAGGACAGGTGCCACTCAGCTAGGCAATGGATGTTCCCCAAACTGAAAAACAAACCAAATGAAAAATCATATGTCTCAAAGGATTTATTAATAAAAATGTTAAACTTTAGAAAACAATTTATCTTTGGAGAAATTATGAAACCAAATTGTGAAACAAGAATTTCATCATCAATCCTGTTTCAGATTTTACTAATTTGAAATTCATGATAATGTTTAGAAAGTGTAAAGAATTTACTTTGTACATTTAATTTTGGCAAATCAATCATCAAGGAATCAATTTCTTAAGAAATTGGGTTTTGGATCGTTTAAGAGGAATATTTGACCTACTTGAAAGTCAAGCATTCCCAAGAAACATAAATTGTTCTGAATGCCACTGTAATGCATTTCATGCTTTCTACACTGATACAGACTTAAATCAGTCTAATAAAAAATGCAAGCTAATTAGTAATCAAGTCATAAACCTAAACTTTTTTAAAGATTCTAGCCCTCTAACATTTTGCTTCTCCATAATTGTTTTTTTCTGAGAGTAATCGTAATAAGTTTGCTTTTTAAAAAACTACACCTATACCTCTTACTCCAAAACTATGGATGCTTTAAAACCATTCAGGGATACAATTTAGCTAATATTACCTGTGTTTAAAAGTTCAGTTTCAGGAGAATTGATGCAGTGCTAAATTTCTACTGACTTTTATACCACTTGACTTTCCCAAAATTGAGTTTAATTCTACTTACATGCATTTAATTTTGTCAGTGTTGAGTTAGACTTTTATTTTATCTTTCAGCTCCAGAAATCCTGAATTATGATCCTATTACCACAGCAACAGATATGTGGTAAGAGTTGGTTAGTTACTAAAATGCCTTTATTAAAATGTAGATTCTGGAGTCCTTGGTGGTGGTGATAGTGTGCCGTGGAGTCGGTTCTGACTCATAGTGACCCTGTACAGAGTTTCCAAGACTGTAAATCTTTACAGGAGCAGAAAGCCTCATCTTTCTCCCGTGAAACAGCTGGTAGTTTGGAACTGCTGACCTTGAGGTTAGCAGCCCAATTTGTATTCTGTCACCATTGTGCTATCAGAGCACTACGATATGCTTGGTTGAAGGCCCACAGGCACTTTGGGATAAAAGTTTGGCTACCTACTCTTGAAAAAGCAACTATTGAAAACCCTATGGAGCATAGTTCTTCTTTGGCACACATGGGATCTCCATGAATTGTAATCATCTTGGTGGCTTTGATAACTTTACTGGGGTTCTTTGATTCCAAATAAGGATGGGGGAAGCAGCAGTCAAGCGGACATATTGGGTTACACTCAATGGAAGACATGATTTGGGGCTAGAAGAACAAAGGACTTATTTGCTTAACAGAAAAATGAAGGCAGACCTACACAAAGGTTTAGTTTTATGATAATACCTCTCTAGAGAATTACGAGTTTTTGTGACTAACACATTGAATATATGATAAGAAATAGAACCAGAATTGTTCCTGGAAGTCAGACTGGGGAACTGACCCATAGGCCAAGTGTAAGAGTTTAGGCTTACTCTGTGATCCATAAAAGTGTTCATCGGTTTTCTATACGAAGGATCCTGTGATTAAATAAGTGGGGGAAACATGTACTATAGTGTTTTTTTTTCTGGTCCTGGAGCTTCAGACTTGTCATGAACATCTCTAAGACTCTGAAAAGTTTTATAGTGAAGAAATGTACCTGCCCAGCATTGTGCTTTGCCTATTTTGCAGACCCTGGGATTCCTGTGAGTCAGAATCCACTCATCAGCAACTGTTTTGTTTGGGTTTCTTTGCCCAGAAGGCCTATTTGCATTTCACAGATCATTGCTGTGCCATGATACACTGTTTGGGAATTCTGTTCTTTGAACAGCTTTTTGTCTTGAAGGACAAATTGTATCTATAATGGCATATATTTTATACATTATATTTTTATATAATTGTCTAACACGTGCATGTATTTCTCTGGCTGTGCTCCCTTTTTGTGAAGCAAACTTTAAGGTCACACAGTTATTTTAGTTTTATAGTATTGTTGCTGTTACGTGCCATCGAGTTGGTTCCAACCCATAGAGACCGTATATAGGGTTTCTGAGGAGTGGCTGGTGAGCTTAAACCGCTAACCTTGTGGTTCAAACCCACTTTGCAGTCCAGCACCTTAACCCACAGTGCCACGCCAGGACTTTTAATTGAAATTTAAATCTGTGGTTTAATTTTGCAAGTCTTGAGGACAGGAATATGCAGAGTATTGATTAAACTTTGTATGACTATTTTAAGATTAACACAATTGTTAACCCTATTCTCAATTGTTTTTCAGGAATATTGGTATAATAGCATATATGTTGTTAACTCATACATCTCCATTTGTGGGAGAAGATAATCAAGAAACATACCTCAATATTTCTCAAGTTAATGTAGATTATTCAGAAGAAACTTTTTCTTCAGTTTCACAGTTGGCCACTGACTTCATCCAGAGCCTTTTAGTAAAAAACCCAGAGTAAGTAATAACATTAATTTGTTTAAATGCTATTATAAAATAGAGAAAGTCTATTATGAAAGATACATTTAAAAAATAATCTAAAGTCATTAGAACTATGCTCTAAGGTAACAGGTAAAATGGAAAGCTGGTAAGAAGGTTCATAAAATAGTAAATCTCTAACCTCATAGAAAATATATAACAGGAAATTTTTGAGTGAAGGGAATATTTGGGTTATTTCTGACTAACGCTAAACATTGAAATTCCCTAAAATAAAGAAAAGTGAAAGGTTTTTATGACCACACTTTCTTGTGAATGACTGTAGATAAATAATTATAGTTATATAATGTTAAGTGCCATCGAGTTGGTTTTGACTCATAACGAGTCTGTATAGGGTTTCCAAGGACTGGAGTGGTAGATTTGAATTGCTGACCTTTAGGTTAAAAGTCCAGTGCTTATCCTACAGCACCACACCAAGACTCCTAGTTATATAATGTTGTTTTTGTTAAGTGCCATCCAGTCAGTTATGACTCATAGCGATCCTGCATAAGGTTTCTAAAGAGCAGCTGGTGGATTTGAACCTCCAGCTTTGTGGTTAGTAGCCCAGTACTTTTCCTACAGTGCCACACCAGAATATATAATAATAAAGATATCCCATAAGTACCTATGAAAGATTGCTTGTCAACTCTTTAAGGATCAGATGCCCTTTGACTCGTGTCTTGCTCACTGGCATCTGCAAGGCAAGAACAGAAAAGGCCAGCTCACCTTTGCTTTACCTAGAATCAACCCTATTTACTTTATTGTGGCCTGACTATATATAAAGTAAGGAGCTCTGGTGGCATTGTGATTTAAGGATTGGACTGCTAATCTTATAGTCAGCAGTTTGAAACTACTAGCAGTTCTGTAGAAGAAAGATAAGGGTTTTGGCTCCTATAAAGATTTACAGCCTTGGAAACCCTATACAGGGTTGCTGTGAGTTGGAACCACCTCCATAGCACATAATCACCACCACCATATATAAAGTGGAAACTAATATATGAGGGGGATAAAGAAAGTTTGTCGAAAAGTAGAATTAAAAGATAATGGAATTTTTACACAAGCTTTTTGAAGCCCCTTGGTAGTGCCTTGGACTGGGGTCCTAGTTACATTGTCAGGGTCTTCTCTGACAGTTACATCGGACTCAGTTTCCTTATCTGTTGTATTAAGATTCAAATTAGAACTATAGGTAGGGTTTCCTTCTCCTTTAAAAATTTTGAAATCATGTTACTTTCATAAAGGAGCCCTGGGTGACACAGTAAGTAAGCACCTGACAACTAGCCAAAAGATTGACAGTTCCAGCCCAGCTAGAGGTGCCTCAGAAAACGTAACCGGCAGCCTGCTTTTGAAATGTCATGGTTTTGAGAACATTGTGGAGCAGTTCTGCTCCAACAAGGGCTTGCCCTGAGTTGGAGTCAACTCTTGGCAACTAACAACAACAGCTCAGAAACCATTTCTCAGCATTCACTGCAATATTATATATGATTTCAAAATGCTGGATGTATCAATCCTGGTTAAATAAATTATGATAGATCTACATAGAAGAGTGATAGTACTGTGATCAATGGAAGATGCCAATGCTCTCTGTAGTGGTGTGTTTGAGCTGTGTTGTGGAATGGGTGAAGAAAACAAATTTCAGGAACTATCAGGTTTCTTTTGAATGTGGATGTGAGTGTGCATATACACATATGTAGAAGAAGTTTCTGGAAGTGGGACTAGGGAATGAGAGAATGGAGAAAGTAACACAGCTTTATGCCTTCAAGGAAGATACCGTGGTATTATGAGTAAGAGCACAGATTCTCGAGTCAAAGTTCCACTCAGCAATACAGTTTATTGTTGTTGTTAAGTGTTGTGGAGTCAAGTCCAAGTCACAGCGACCTTATATAGGATTTCTGAGGAGCAGCTGGTGGGTTTGAGCTGCTAACCTTGTGGTAACCAGTCCATTGCTGATCCTATAGTGCCATACCAGGACTCCAGCTATACAATTTATAGATTATGAAATTGTGGGCCAGATATCAGCCTCTTGGGATCTTACTCCCTTTATGTGTAAAATGGGGAGATCAGTAGCTCCCACTTCCATAGGTTTCCTATGATTATTAGATAATATATTTGAAACATACAGAAAAGTAAATAAGTAAGCATTTAGTAAGTATTAACTCATTATTACACCCTTTGCACTGTTTAGATTTTGTACAACAGACATATGCTATTTGTATAGTAAATGAAAAATATACATATTCTGTCAAACTGCAGACATTAAAATTTTATTTTTAGTTTTAAATTTTCCCTTGGTTTTTGTCTCTCTCTCCCACCTCCAAAAAAGGCAAAGGCCAACAGCAGAAATCTGCCTTTCTCATTCTTGGCTACAGCAGTGGGACTTTGAAAACTTGTTTCACCCTGAAGAAACTTCCAGTTCCTCTCCAATTCAGGATCATACAGTAAGATCTTCTGAAGACAAAACTTCTAAACCTGCTTGTAATGGAACCTGTGGCGATCGAGAAGACAAAGAGAATATTCCCGAGGATAGCACCATGGTTTCCAAAAGATTTCGATTTGATGACTCGTTGCCCAATCCCCATGAACTTGTGTCAGATTTGCTCTGTTAGCACTTTTCCCTTTGACTCATTTAAACTGAATTTGAAAATTTAAATCCACTCCAGTGTGTGATTATGGTTTGTAGCTTCATATATGGCGTGTTTATATTGTAAATGCATTTTTGCATAGAAGAATTTAGGGAAGTGCTTTTATGCAAAAGTTTGAGTTTAAAGCATAATTTCATTTCCTGTCCTGAAATAGCAACTTTGCAGAAAAGAAAATATTTAAATAATAATAATAAATAAAATTTTACATGTGAGTTTATATGTTAATGAAATCAATTTTCAAAGTGTTTTACATATCAGAAAAAAAGTGGTTTGGGTCATAATTGTGTTTAATGTTTTGTTTATAAACTGAGCAAAGTAAAGACATTTTGATTTAATAGTTCTTTTTCCTCCCCACCAAGGTGCGGCTATACCATGCCTCTCTTGACAAAATTTGTTTAGGGAAACAGTGCCAGGTTTAAGTCAGAATGTATACTGTATTCTAGAAGATCAAGAGACAGCTTAGAATTGAAAATATTTTGAAATGACATGTATTTTGAAACTGCATAAAATTTTCATTATATGAGTTCTGCTACATGAAAGAGGCCCTACAAATGTCTTTTGCCTGCTCTCAGCCTACTTAAGATGGCAAATAGTATGTAAGGGTGAAGGTTTTCTGGCTTCCACAGAGAGGAGAGGACACTTTGGTAAAAGTGAATGCACTCTGTCTTCAGTCTGACAAGTGTGTTTATTGAATATTGAAACTAATCACTATTTCTATTATTAATTAACATTAATATTGGTATTAAAAGAACATGTTGACAACTTAGGCAGCTTACAGGATTTTTGATGAGTTCTAAGTTTTAGACTATCAACCAGTCTTTCAGAGTTCTGAAAGTCTGCTTAAAAATGATCAGCACCAGTAGGCCTTTAACACAGTGCTAGGGTCAGCAGTAGTGAGGCTGGTGTGACCCTAACACATAGTGACCTCCAGCTGCTCTCGAGTACTTGTGCAGAATCCCTAGTGAGTGGTGGCTGCAGCAGAAGGCCATCTGCAGTGTCGCCTGGAAGTGTCATTTCCTGGGACCAATGCTATAGAGCAGAATCTTCCTTCAGTTGGCTAACGGTTAAGTCTTAATGGGAGGGACATTTACTTAGTGGGGAATCTTTGATGAGTTTCTACCTGGTGACTATCACATAGTCTGTTATATTATCATATTAAGATAATTGTGACTTCATGATCTAACTATTATATCAAAAGAAATTGTGTTTGGACAAAAAAATGCCTGTGTGCTCCCCTTTGATTCATGTATTATTTTAAAAACTTTATACGTCTTGACATTTTGATAAAACTTTAAATTCTTTAAGCTGAAAAAAAAACCTAAAACAATACTTCATTAATCATTAGGTCAATTTATTTGGCCAAATGGTAAATTCCTGTAACATCTTTAGCAAGTTACTTCTACTTGTATGTGTGTGCATATGTGTATATGTATGTTGTCATTATTAAAGTGCTGTTGAGTCAGTTTCAACTCATAGCGACCCTTGTATTTGTACATGTGTATGGGTGTATGTATATATGTACAGACAGATTAAAATAGAGTCTTTAGACAACTTTCTCTTAGAGATTCTTTGCTCTAGTATGTTGTGCTCAACTCAGGTGCCAAAGAACTCTCTTCTTATAATATGTAAATATGCATTTAGATTCTTTAAGATACAGCAGTTTTTTTGTCCAATAAACTAGCCATTGCTGAAGCAACTTATATTTTAAACTGTTGAGTTGTTTCTAAATTATCAAATATCCATTATTTGCTTTCAGTATTAAGACAATGCAGGTAAATCTTAAATCAGTCCAAAATGAGAATCTGATTGCTTTTACAGATGATCATACTGTACTGTTAAATTTCTAGAGGTATTATGCATATGAAAAACTATGGATCAAGAAATGAAGAGAATTTACTAAGAAATCAATTCTTACTCTCATTCTCTCAAGTTTAAAAAAAAAGAAGAAGAATATTTAGACAGGTCTTTTTAAGTGACCAGAGGCCAATAACACTTAAACTCCCCTGAAGATTAATGTTAAATTGGGAGAATTTTATAAAGTATCATTTGCTTTTTGGATTGGGTCCCTGGATTAGAAATAAATAATGTATACATGACAATTACAATGATCATTTAAATTTTTTTCCACTGTAAAGTTAAAACAGTAAAACTATCATGGCACTTTATAATTGTACTAAAAATCTATAGTAAGTAGTACCTGTTCTCCAGTCATTAATGAGATAGGGTACACGTGCAAGGACAACAGTCAGCATTTTGCTTCCTTATCAAGAAAGTCCTGTGATGAAAAAGTCAGCTGAGTCCCTGATTAGTAATGGAATTGATGTTCATTCTAGCACAAGTTTCTTTTTTCATTTTCATTTTGAACTGGTCACAAGTAGCTCATGGAACCATACTATGTTGTTGTTGTTAAGTGCTGTTGAGTCAGTTCCAACTCATAGCAACCCCGTATAGGATTTCCAAGGAATGGGTGGTGAGTTTGAACCAATCTTGCAGTCCAGTGCATTATCCCGCAGTGCCACAATAGTTAGAACACTCTTGTTATAAAGCAACATTTATAAATATTGATGTTCTATTATCTGTTTACATTTTTTCTATGTATCTTTTAATTTGCAGTTTGATATCTGACTTGGAAGCATGTCCTTGATTTTTGTGTAAACAATTGTATTTATTTTTATTTTTTTTTAGTTTGCAGTTTGATATGTGACTTTAAAGCATGTCCTTGTTAATTGTTGTGTAAACAATTGTACCTTAATTTCAAAACTGCTTTAAAATTAAGTTAACTTTCAATTTGGGGGATTTTTATCAATTTATAATTTTATAAAAGTATTTTAAAGAAATTTAACTCTCATTTTAAATTTGGTGTAAATTACAATTATCCTGCCATCTTAACTCTCATTTAATAATCATGTTGATTAAGGTATATGGAAAGACATTATTATAAATATACCAGTAAAAAAAACTTTTATTATATCAACTCACTTATTCTTTTGGTTAAATATTAAAAGGCAGTTTTTTACATTTGTGTGTGTCTTCTGTTAAAATTTATTTACAAAATTATTAAAAGTTTGTCTGGAGGGTCTAGTTCTTGACGCAGATCCTCTTGAACTCCCATTCCAATACAGACATATATATTAATTAAGTCCCGTCCATTGTAAAGTCTACATAAATTTGAAGGCATGCATGTTCATTCTCTGGCAATAATACATACTTCTAGAAAATGTCAATGAATGACAAATATGCTTCATGTTTTACAAAGATGCATAAGGGATTCTTCAAGAAACTTAAAATATGGTTGTGGAATAAGATACATGATAAAATTATAAATCACCATATAGGCAAAAACTGTGATGATGAGAGATATGGTATGCAGAAGTGAACAATTAATTGAATGTGTAAGGAGGAGAAATAATATGTGTTAGGACTTTTAAACTGTGCAATTTCTCTTCCAGGTTACATGTCTTGTGCTCTTCTTCTGGCACATAGGCATTGGTTTTAGATTTTTCTCGTTAGCCCCAATTTTCCTCCTGTGTACTAACCGTTTTACATATTGCCTTTATTTGGATACAAGTATCTTCAAAAGCAAGATACGTAAAATTATGATCATATTTTGTCTTTCAGTACCATCTGCTTACCCAAACATCTAGGCTCTGGGCTACCACCCATAGTTAACATAGCCATATTCGCCTGCACAATACAAAATAAACATGAAAAGAAATCGCTCTTTTTATATATGTATATTTTTCCTCATCTTCCTCCTCTTTATTACATCCCTTCCAGTTTGTCATTAATTGCTATCACTTTCATTTCCTTAATACAGGGGTGGGGAACCTTTTTTCTGCCAAGGGCTATTTGGATATTTGTAACATCATTTGTGGGCCATACAAAATTAGCAACATAAAAATAAACCTGCTATATTAGGTCAAGCACTTAACTCACCGGTTAATGTGATGGCTTGGAACTGAGTTTGTCTTGGCAGGGCCAGACCAAATGATTTCGCGGACCCGATACGTTTCATGGACCATACATTCTCCACCCCTGCCTTAATACCTTGGCCACCCCCTTTTCTTCTAACAGCTCCTCCTAGCACTAGCATGATTGAGATGGAAGGGGAGACCTGCAGGAGATGGCAGTGCAGTGTCACAAGCTGAGGGAGAAGTGAATCTCATCTGAATTGCCTTTGTCTTAACAAGCAATTTTCCAAGAGGAAAAAAGTCTAAGAAAGGATCATTAGATATAAATCCACAACAATGCTAAGCTTGCAAGCAGTAGGGAGAATGATGAGAAGTTGGAGCCACAGGTACAGTTTTCCAAACATCCTGGAGGGAGAAGGGGTGAGTAATAGAAGTGTTCAAACCTTTTTTAGGATAGGAGTACTTGAAAATGTTTGTGAGGAAAGAAGAGGAGTCCGAATGGAGGCAGCAACTGAAGTGAGGGAGAGTGAAAGGTGCCTGGATGATAGAAAATGTCAGAGAAAGTAATGAGATCAAAAGTACAAGTAAGAGAGATCAGCACTGGCTAGCTGAAAGAACTTCTCACAGTCAAATATGAAGACACAAGGTAGATGACCGCAGTATGAAAAGTCATGATAGCTCTGATCAGCTTTCTTTTTTTGCATTCTTAACTACCTTTTTTATGGTTAAATATTTTTAATCTTTTTGTTGACAACTTATATAGCCAAACATGCACACCAGTTCAAGTTTCTGCATGTACCTTTTACTGAAATTGATTACATTCCTAGAGTTGTGCAACCTCTTTTCTGACTTGTTCGTACAGTATAAACATAAGGTTCCTAGCTAATTTTTTCAGTTACTGTTGCAAGTTTGATCTCAAATACATGTTTTTTGTTTTTTTTTTAAATGTTGTATTGTGAATTATGTGATCATTTACATGGGAGAACATTAGCTTTACATTCATCCTATCGGATAGTGTTAACGTTGCCATGGTTACAATCCCCTCCATGCATCATTGACCAACCAAAGGGTATACCCTGCAAGCCTTCCCCCTGGTTGTCAGCACACAGCCCCTCTCCCTGTCTTGGTCTAGAGTTCCCAACTGCTCCATCTCTCCACGTCATCATCTCTGCCTCCATCTCTGGCGTCACTTTCTCTGGGTAAGGTCCAGCATTCTGCTCTTCTCCCTTGATGGTCCCAAGGCTCCTGGACTGCAAAGTCAACCACTCCCCTCCTTTTGCTACAAAATGTCTACCTTTACATTTCCAACCCTCACAGTCAGTCCTGATAGT